CAAGCCCCACATATTTACAAGTAGGAAAAACTGCCCTTGGACAAAATTATTTTTTCTGATCATAACAACTGCATGCATCTACAACTTGCAAAGCACATTCAGGTTTATAGCTTTGGGTTCGCTGATCAAAATGCCATCTTCACAAACAAAACAACATTCCCATTTCACGCAAGTTCTATTTAAAAACCAGCCTTAGCTTTCACAGAAACTCTATATTCATATCTAAAACACAATGCAGTCTCATTTTGAAATTCTTTCCTGTCTAAAAATATATCAGTTTCCATATTTTCTTAACTGAGAACTAAAAACACTCATAATACCTTTTCAAATTGCCAGGAAAAAGTATATCCTTCAAAGCACAAATGACTGTATTAAGTAACAGCATCAAGAGAGATGCGTACTTCAGGCATGATGCAAAAGGTTACTAGCAGGTTCTCTCTACTCTCCTGAATTTCTACAGAGTAACTTTAAAGACTTGGGGAGTTTAATGTAAGGCAGTTAGACCACTTTATAATGTTGCTTCCGTTTCTTCATATTCTTGGTGTATTTCAGACACATTCACTCACTATGTACATCTTCAAGCTCCAGTCACCTTGGGAGAAATACACTTTTTTCCTGGTTAAGCTACTTGAATACATCTTTTGTGTGTAAACCTCATAACATTGTTACAAATCTGTGTTAGTTTGCGATGACCACAGGCACAGCTGAACTGCTGCACAGTCTAATTCACACAGCAAAACCCAGCTGGTCATCGGCCTCTTTCTTCCTGCAAATGTACATGCTCGTGTGCATGTGTAAACTGTCATCAAATCTGCTAACTTTTTCAGGAATTAATTTGTGGGGCAAGGAAGGCTGGCAACAGTTTATTGTGCAGCACCATGACCGCCTGCAATACAATCAGTAGCATCACGTAAAAGTAACCTGGGAGAAACTGTACTCTTCTAGGAGCAAAAACTGAATATAGGACGAGTCATATCTTTGCTGCTCATTAAACAGACAAGTAACTGGTTAAAACCCTGACTATGCACTACTGCTCAAGGCACAAGGAATCTGTTTTAGCCTCTCCAAAGTGACTGGTTTGAGAGTTTATCTTAAGAGAGACAAGAGGTCAAGTTGATTCTATTGTTTCCATGTAAGAGAAGTTATTTTACTACATATAGCATCTAAGAATGTTAATTAACCAAATCTTCTTACCACCTGTCTCTTGGAATGAAATGACTACGTAAGGTCTTTAGCAAAGAACAAATCCCGGGGAATTAAGTCTTGGACTCATAATGCATTAGAAATAGAACAGCTTCCCTTCCCACTGCCCATGTTCAATGAATTTGTACTCACCCTCTGCGTGATGCTTTTTCCCTCTTTGACTTGCACTGCCAATCCAAGATCAGACAGTCTGCAATTACCGTTATCATCCAGGAGAACATTTTCTGGTTTCATGTCCCTGTACACAATCTTGATAGAATGGAGATGCAGAATCCCACAGGTGATCTGAGCTGAGTAATAGATGACCCTGTTCATGTCCAAACCCCTTTCTCCCACATTGTAGATGTGATACTTCAGATCCCCTCCATTCATGAGGCTCATGACAAGACACAGATGGCTTTTGCTCTCATAGGCATAAGCTAGTGTGACTATGAAAGGGCTGTTGACCTTCTCCAGGATCTCTTTCTCCAGTAGTGCCATCTTCTCTCCACCTTTCTTTTTCAACCTTTTCTTATCTAGTTTCTTGCAGGCATACATCTTACCAGTATTTTTCACCTGGATGGCACAAACCTAGAGAAGCAAGAAGCACGACGAAGGGTAATGAAGGAATTTTACACATAGAGATTGGAATAACAAGGGCAGTAATAGGCAGGAACTGGGGAATTACAGATGCCTATTAGTAGCTGCTGATGCTAACTTCCATGGCAGAGTATATTAGCAGAGAAAATAAGGAAAAAACAAGCATACAATCTGTTCTGTTCCAAACCAGTATATGGTGGACCTTATGCAAAGTTTTTGAGGACAATATTGGTCGACACATATTAGCAAATACAAAGAACAAGGACCCACTCTCTGACCGTGAGAGTAAGGTGGCACATACAGCTTGCATTTGTACAGCTAAACTCTCTTCCATCTCAGAAAACGGTAGCCTTATTCATACTGTGTTTTGGGAACAGATCTGTGCTATTCCCTAAATTGCACCTAGGAATCATCTGGGAGTGTGTGAGCTAGCACAGGCTAAAACAGTGGCAAGCAGCAGACTAACAATTAACTCTATGGACAGCCATGCGAGCTTTTGTAAAGAAGCCTGCTTTTTACTAGCATAGAAACAGAATACAAAAGTTTTAGAGTAGTTCTTCACTAACAGGCCTACATCACACTATAGAAAAAAACCTACCCTAATTTCTGGGAAATAGACAATCTGAAGGAGCGAGTTTTGCAAAACCTTACACAATTTCTTAATCCATTGCCAAGTGCCTCTTTTGCAAACCCACCTGCTAGTCTTGAAAGGGGATGACCCACATCCTTAAAAGCACATCTCTTACCTCTCCGAAGCCACCTTTGCCCAGCACTCGGAACTCATAGAAGTATTTCTCAGTTACCGGCTGCTTCTCAAAAACTTTCCATTGTAGGAATTTGTCATACAAGGGGCTGGTCTGGAAGTCCTGGAAGGGCTTGCCTTTAAGGAAGATCTTGGTTTCCTCCTTGGCCAGCTGCATGACATTCTCGTAATCTTTTGCAGTAGCTGCCTGGCATTTGCTGACCAAGTCAGAGCTCATGAAAGCCAGATAGTTTTTGGAGCCCGCCTTAAGAAAATTGGTGATCATATTCTCCATGGTACTGCTCTTGACATTGTCCTCTGCCAACTCCCAGTTTGACACCTCATCCAGGAAGTCCCTAGCTACCAAATATTCTGGCACTGTCTCTAAGAAGTCTCTGAAGAATTTCTTGCCAATGGGCTGCTGCTCACAGATGCTGTCATAATCAGCAACAACAGACTGCCTAACCTCTCCGCATTGATCAATCCTGGGCAGTGAGAGGCTCTTACGTCTCTTTTGCATCTCCTTGGTGTCTCCATCTCCACTCTTCCTTGCCTGCAGATAGGCTGTGTTGGCAATCAGGTTGTCAAGCCCCCCCATGTCACACATCTTGGCAAGCTCTTGGGGTGGCAGTCTGGTTGAGACAAAAGGAGTAACTGGCCCAAGTGCTGTGCTGTAGCTGGCCTGCACTTCTCCCTGCTAGTGATGTGGGGGCTTCCGAAAAACACCAGAGACACTAACTGCTTTTGCATTAAATACCTCTCAAGGATTTTCACTAAGTACCTTTAGGTATATGCACCATTTGTGGAAAGTGACTGGTAAGAGGTTTCTCTGTAAGGAGCTTTGAGTTTGCTATGTATAGCTGAGGGATGACATCCTAGGCAAACCTTCTCACTGGCAGCATCAAACACATGCAGTTCAGCTGCTGTTTTTCAGAACGGGCCCTGATAACCCTTAGATTTATCAAGATTCCCTCTAGATGCACTGTCCCCGGCTGCTGAGAACATGCAGAGGTTCCTGTCTGCAATACATGCACACTCCAAACTCTGTCACTCTGGCCACAGTTAACAGGACAGCCTCATACCTCCCTCACTTGGCACAGAGAACACCAATGTACTAAGAACTACGTAAGCTGGGATCTGGTTTTACAAAAAGCTGTTATCACAAATCTGCCATGCCTGAAACGTAAGTTGACATAAACAGACATGAGTTGTTGAGCTTTAAATTATCACACAATTCCATGCTTTGACCATCCACACCTCCAAAACTCAACTTATGCTCAACATCAATGACTTAGCTCCACAGGCACTTTGTGCAAACCTTGATGCCTCATGTGGCTCTGTCTGAGCGGATTACATGCAGAGGCTAAGACCTGCTGCTGGTCTAAAAATAGTGATCCCTATACACGAAGTGACATGTAGTTCTGACTTCATCTCCTAGCTACAGAAAAAGGAAAAACACTTCAAATGACCAGTCATATCTTGCCAAGACACTTCCATATGTTATTATGGCCTCAGTTTATTTTGCCTACTAAGCTTTATGACAGTAAGTGTCAGGATGAGAAGGTGGCAACAGCGTATGGCTGAGGTGGCATCAACAAAGGGACAAAGCTGATTATAATCAAGTGAAGGCAAATTCCACCTGACTTCACTCACTGGCTGCCTACCAGGAAGCCTGTGTCCATTTTTTTCCCAAAAGAATAAAAATCATGCATGCCACTTACTAGGCAAAGCCCCCTTCTGCTGTGGGGTCATGTGATTTGGCTGCCAAAACCTTCTTTAAATTTAAGGAAAGTATCATAGGAACAGGAAAAGCAGTTCTATGATTCTTCCAGGAGCAATGGGATCAAGCTGTACTACTGAGGTCAAGGTGAAGTTTCCTTTTCCCTTTTGTCACTCCTAGAGCAAGTTGAAGAGCTGAATCACAAATGCTAAACATTAGGACTAACAACATGCACCTCTCAGACTCCTTACAGTAAGCGCTAAGCCCTTTTTGGCTGCTTTTTTGTCACTCTACTACTACAGAGTATTTTGTTTTTACATGCTTAATCCTGTCTGCATTGAATCCATCTGACATGTAACACATGCTTATACTCTACAAAATTATATATTAGAGGTGTGAGTGTTTTTCTAGGTGTGATTGAGAGGGCCACCCATCACAAACTCTTGTGTGTGCACAAGAATGTGGTGTACTCTAAAGCGCAGTATTTGAAAGTCTTGCTTGTACAGCAATCACTAAATCTGCCAGGTGAATGCAAGCACAGGAGAGGAGGTTACATAAAGGGCTAAACAATGCAGCCAGCAGAGTAAGCAAAACTGAAAAAAGTCAAAGGAAGAAGTGTGTAATTCCGCTGGTGGCTTTCCTGAAAGTGGTGCACACAGCAACATATTCCTATAATATCCTGGGTACAGAAAGACAAGAAAGGAGCTTTAATTTCAGGTCCTAAAATTCAGCAGGGTCTTTTTTACATTTAGCAAGAATGCCACCACAGCTCGAACAGTACCAGTACAAATGGCTGATAGTTGGGGACCTAAGGGCGAGCTCAAGCTTATACTAGCTATTGATATATTGATGTCTAAGAAAAATCAAGAAAATACCTAATGTTTACGGTATCTGCATAAGAAAGGCATACTCACAGCTCCAGAAATCATTCTGCTCTGAAAGAAATCTTTCTCAATTTCTATGGACATAAACCTTCTCTAAAAGAACATAACTTCACAAAAAGCAAAGTGAAACAATATGATCTTTGGACACATACTCATTACTCCAGTCACTTTTGAGAGAACACTCTATCTAGCTAGATCTGCTGAATTATCCAAATCTGCTCAGCATTTATTAAACAGTGGAGAAAAGTAGTTCAGCATTAATCTATTAGTCAACAATGGCTATTTATGTTAGCATTACATACTCATAAATCAGTATGTTTGAGCCAGAAGCAAAACTGATTTATTTTGCATGTACGAATTGTGAACAAATTCAGGACTAAAAATGAGTACTTATTAAGAACTATGCTAATGGATTATCAGGGTATGACTTGAAACAGAAGAAAATTTCTCTGGTGCAAAGCTTATAGAAAGCCTGGCACTTCAGCTCATCTCTAAATTAAGAGAAAACATGCAGGACTTAACATTCATTACCTTATATTCTTGGTGAACCTCCAATTACTGGTCAACAAGATACTTACAATACACAAACAGATACACACAAATATCAGCTGCTTTGATTTCAACATTAACTTTCCTAATACCTCATTTGTGTTGACATCTGTTTGAGCTGACACTTTGGAAAACTCTCCTACAATTATAATTCTCAGCTAGTCTTGTCATGCACATGGTGTGAACTGAAAGCAGGGTGAAAATTACTTTGGTACTTTCTGTATTCATCTATAAACCAAAGCAAATTGAAGAGAGAAGTCCTCTGATAGGACTAGATGGAATTAATAGAGGTTAAAGGATGGAGCCTGGTACCAAATTCTAGCAGAGAAAATAGGTGGTAGATAAGATATAGTTTAACTTTGACAGCTAAAAATTATTTCCACATCCAAACAGATTTTCTTTTGCAATAATTTTAGGAAGAATCCTTTCACACAAACAGAAATACTCCAGAACAATGTAAAAGTTATAGGTACTTCATCGCTACTGTTAACCTATTTGACATTTGTTTTCAATTTTAAACCAGACATTATGTGGGATAATAACAACCGATGTAATAAACTGCAACAGTGACACAGAGGGTATTTTTGATCTCAGTGTGCAATGAGACAAAAACTATATTTAAAAAATCCAAAACATTTTAAGAACAAGATTACAAGTATTAAACAAAAACACAGTAAACCCTGCATGTATGCTTGAGGACACAAAGACTGTCATTGGAACTACTTAATACAGTGAAGATAAACCTCTTTAAATATACTTAAACAGAACTAGATAGAAATACACCTGCTGAGAAACGCATTAAACATTTAAGATAGTAATTTTGAAGTAAACAATGATATGCATATAATATTGCTTCAATTTCACTCAGGTTTATTAACCATTTTTATAAAGTCTGAATTTGATACAGACGTAAAGCAGTAATTCAACCTCTCTATAACAGCTATTAAAAAAAAAACCCATGGCATATGTTCAGATTAATAGTAATTACTTTGGATATTTAGGGAAAACACAGAGGCAAGCACTTAAATATTTTAAGAAAAATATCACGATTCATATAAAAAAAGATGGAATTTTGAGGCTTTCCACAAAAATGAAACAATGCTTTCTCCCACTTCAAAACATTGCAACTAATAAAATGATAATAAAGAAATTTCTATTAACTGAATTTTCATGAAACCACAATTTAACATTTTTCCCTAGATTTAATTAAGTAGCTGTTTTCCTTGGGATATTTAAATTATCAGTTTTGTTTGCTTTCTGTATTAGTCAGCTAACCAGCAAGATTGTTTACACCCCTAGTTAACTGATACCAAATACGTGTCTTTGTACCAAAAGTCTCTGGATTAAAAATACATGTCTCCATGATCTTTAATGGAAATATAAATAAAGAAGTATTAATGTAGTTAAATTTTAATACTATGGTTGTAGAAATTATGTATAGAATATAATACAGCAACTGACTTGGAGACACAACAAAACAAAATCTTCAAAAGTCACAAAGAAAACCTAAATTAGAAATGTTTAGTATAGTCTGATGGAAAAAGCACATAGCAAGTGTTTTACACACTACTCATTTTACATTAAAAACCAGAATACTTTCTAAAAAACTCACCGGCTGTGTTTCTGTATACAATATTATATAGAAAACAATTTCTTTATCCTGAAAGTAAACTACACAGTGTATCAGACTTACAGGTAAGGTCACCCTTTCAAATTAATTCATCTATGCAAAAACATTAAATAAACTGTATTGAGGGTATAATCTGCACCACCACATTTCTATGCTCCAATACAGTTAATGCTCAATTCGTAACAGATACACTTGTTAACGTAGTGTCTCTCTTTTCGCAGTCATGGAAATATCTGCAATAAGACCGACCATTGCCTCCTCATACAGCAAAGAGCATACAACAAACCCACACTGATCTTGTAGCAGATAAACTAAATAAATCATGCCATGACTGATGCGTTCCATTCTTTTGTACGAGCATATGGCATAAAGCATACAGTATTTCAACAAGTCAAACAGAAAAAAAACTTCCAGTGGTTTTATTTGCCTATTCTTTGGACTACCCAGTCCTGCTGGCAGAGGGGACAGCGATTATTCTGTTTCACCCACAAGGACATGCAGCAATTGTGGAAGGAATGGTTGCATTCGCCCCAAACCACTGAAAGAGAAGAAAGAATGTGTTTCAGTCACACTCAGCTGTCCAATCAACACCTACAGCAAGGTCCAAACTAACATTCTCAGACATTTATAACCACCACAAGCTTTAGAGACAAAATGGGTCATCACTGATTTATCCACTGAGATTGGATTATTACAGTCATTCTGATGACAGTCAGTTCTCTGTCATCAATCCTGTTACTTATTTCCCATTACAGAAAAAAGAAATGCATATATCCTCACCTTACTGTATGAAGTGACACAGTTTTGTCAGTGTATGAACACATTTATCAGTTCTGTCCAGGAAATAAGTGCAACTACCCAAGTTCTTCACTTTATCTTCCCCACTACCAAAATACAGCCAATGCACTACTGACGGACTATCACACAAGAGCGTATCACCAAATTCTCATCTGTAATGCAGTGTTTTAACTTAAATGTATGATATCAAGGAGGCACATTTGACACAGTATATAGCCTCAAAACGGGATCTTAGATCAGACGTTATTCACAGGCTACAAGTGTTTCAACACAACAAAAAGGGTTACCTATTGTCCATCTACTCCTGAATAGTATTAGTTACTTTCCTTTTTTCTTTTATTAATTTGTATTTTCCTTAATGGAATACAAAGGTACCAATCAAAGGAGTGTTGTAAATTATGCTTTTTTTCCTCTCTATCTTAAATAGGACACTTAGCAAGCCAATTAATATATCTGGAACAGGAAATTCCTGTTGTCATTAAAACAATTATGAAAAACAACAGTGGATTAAGTTTGAGACAATATACTTCAAAACAGAAAGAACAAGGGGATGGAAAGGTTTACCGCTGGTTTAAAAGCTGACTTAAAAGGTTAAAAGAAAACTCTTTGAGACAACTTTCACTATTTCTGATTTAAATGTATCAGAATTAAGTTAAGATTTGCTTTTGCATACGTTGGTATGCAACTGAAAGTATGTTTATGTTTAAACAGCATTATAGCAAACTTTTTCCAAATGAAAAGTGAACAAACAAGCAATTGCCTCCACTATGTCTGAATTAAGACTGGGAAAATACTGCTTTCTAACCCAGACACACAGAGGATTTGTATTGGTATTACCATTGTGTCTTCTGGCATGCATAACAGAAGAAAAAAAAAAAAGTAGCCTTTTCCTACCCACTTCAAAAGTGTACATTGTCATCTCCCCAGTTATGCTCAGGGTGAGAGAAACTTAAACCTCTCGGTTGCGTATGTGCTGACTGCAAATTGAAGCTGTTTTGTTCCACAGCATGTCTGAAGCAAAACTGATTTTATCAGTGCTCAAAAATAAAGCATAAATTATTACTAATGTGAAAAGATGACACAATGTAGAATGAAACACCAGTTTACTTTTGAGCATTAATAAAATCAGTATTCCCTTCAAACTTTAAAATGCACCCTACTGAGAGAAGCTTCAATTGAAAAACAAGCAAATGAAATCACTACATACCAACACAATCTTCTTGTTTGTTTTCAGCTTGACATCTAAGACAGGCATCTAAAAGTAAACAAGAACAAGACTCGATTCAATTCTCAGGATTCCATCTTAAGAATAGGTTTGTCAGAGGAAAATATAAACTCTAAAACCAATTTACAAAGGTAAAAATCCCAAGTTTTGATGTCTAGTTCAGCCCTTTAACAATAAGCACTCCCCCTAAATTTTAAAACAGTGCACGTGACAATGAAATATGTATCTGAAAGAGATCACAAGGACTATAAACTGTCCAAACAAGTTTTGTTTATTTTCCATTGCTTTGGTATTTTCATAACTTCTGTTGAAAAAAAAAAAACCTTCTCCATTTTGTAGATATAATAACCAGCAGATCTGTGCCAAGGCACTCAGGCATATTAAGACCAGAGCAAGCACAAAGCCAAACCCTAATTACAGGACTTGGTTTTTCAGATGTCAGCATCTCCTTTTAAGGAAATCATTCACAATTTTGATTTTTTTTAGGCTGTACATCTCTCACCACAACCCCCCCCTCCTCCTACTTTTTATATACTAGTTTTCCCTAGTAAGTACCTGCATGTAATTTTCACAAGAGTCACATACACATGCAAATATATTGGTGAATTTGATAATATAAATGAATAGAGAAACATGGTATAATACCTAATTAAAAATAGTTATCATATCTATGCATTCCAGTCTGTGGCTGTAGGACTGTATGGCAGGTTCAGGGCTCAGTAAGATATAGAAGTGACAACTTCCAGGCTTAGTACTGTGCCACACACATACAGTGGAAAAATACCCTTGCCTCTCCTTTGCCCCAACATGGGCTGCCATAGACATATGTGCACATACCATGCACAATAGAAAGTGTTCAAATATTATGGGAGCAAACACATCTTCATCTCCTCCAAAGAAAAGGTAATAGTTTAAAGAAAAGTGTCCTGCAGGTTGGACCTGTCCTACATGTCACTAGTTAGACCTTATTTTCCTAGAAAACAGAAAAATAACAAGCTGCAGGAATTCAGATTTGAGTATTTTGCTCAGATACAGATGGTACTTCTATTTTAGATTCATCTGCCCAGACATTCCTCATTTTCTCAGGTAATAAAGAACAAAGAGGACAGACACTCTGGAACAGTTGCCCTTTCCTCACTGAGATAAAAGGCAGCAAAGAAAGTTTCCTGTTGCCTGTTCCCATAATTGATGTTTCCACAGCATTTAAGGGCCAAGCTGTAGGGAAGATTCAGCCCAACTGCTTCAGTTTGCGCCATGGTACATCAAACTGATCTGGGGTCACCTCAATGTGCAGGGCAATAAGCTGTGGCAGACTACTAGTCACTATAAAAGCAGCTTTCCTATCCTAGCCCCAGATTTCCAGTTTCAGACAGAGAAGAAAAAATTCTTCACCGAAAGGGTTGTCAGGCTCTGGAATGGGCTGCCCAGGGAGGTGGTCGAGTCCTCATCCCTGGAGGTATTTAAAAGAAGGATAGATGAGGCGCTTAGGGACATGGTTTAGTGGTGGGATGGCAGGGTTGGGTTAAAGGTTGGACTCGATGATCTTAAAGGTCTTTTCCAACCAAAGTGATTCTATGATTCTATTCTATTTTATAAGCAGCACTGAGAGCCGAGGACAGAAATCACCGCAACCATATCAAGGTAAGCTGACCCCACTCCTGCATCATAACCCTATGTCTGTTAGTCTGAAAAGGTAAGCAAAGCTAAATTAGTACTGCTGCAATCCTGCCCTTCCCAGCTAACACCTGCATTTTTGCTTCTTTCACTTG